GGTTTAGGGTGTTGGATTTAGGGTTGAGGATTTCAGGATCTAGAGGGGTTGTTGGTGTTTTCGGTTTAGGGGTCAGATTCTGCCCTGTGCCCTCAGCCATCTACCTATAGTCTCCATTGTAGTTCCTTTTTTTGGTTTAACCAGTTATATAAGAAGGATTTTATAAGGCATCCCCAAAAAGGAACCACAATGGAGACTATAGGTAGAGTCGAGAACTCAAGGTACCAGCCCTCCGAGCAACTTCACGAGTCGACCCAACTTCCAACTTCTCCCCCAGCTCCTCACCCGAAGGGTCCAAAGGACCCAATAATCAGGTACTTAGGTGTCGGATAGTAGTTATGTGGGTTACTATTTGGGAGAGTATATGATTATTAGGTACTTGGACCCTTAGGGTCAATGCTTGTGGATTGAACCTGAACCCCCTAAATCAAACACCCGACTCTTGAAAATCCCAGTGTACCTCAAATCCTGGACTCTCAGCCCTGCAACCCGAACTTTATGCTATACCCGAATCCTTTAGGCCTTACCTATAGTCTCCATTGTAGTTCCTTTTTGGGGATGCCTTATAAAATCCTTCTTATATACTTGGTTAAACCAAAAAAAGGAACTACAATGGAGACTATAGGTAAGCTCTAAGCCCAGCACCGGCTTGCACTTTCAGGCCATCGCCGTGGCACTCAGCTTCTTCGTGGCCTTGGCAAACATTCTGGCGCTGCGGACAGTGCTCGAAGCCGCTGGTCAGGTTGAGGGCTTCAGGCATGTATGGCTTTAAGTTTCTATTAGGGTTTTCAACGTTTCATGGAGTTTAACACGGTTGTCGTAAGTGTCTTATATGGGGTGTAGACATGTTCAAGAACATATTAAGGGCTGTGCTACGAGTGCTGGATCCCTTTATCATGTTAGGAATAGGCCTTTGGGTTGAAGCAGGGTTGGAATGAATGGGTCTGAGCATTTTTTCCGTGCATCTGGGTCGGCTGCTCCGAATAGCTCTCAGATATGCATCTAATGTTCTGTAGACCCTTGTGGTGGTATTCAGGGTTTAGGGTTTAGGGTCCTATGTGGGCTCTCTGCAAAGATTAGACTACGGCACTCTTACAATCTGGGTGCTGGAGGGTACCTATCGACTCATCTCATTCGGAAGGACACCATCTATTTTGAAGTCCTTCGAGCGAATTCTTCGTTTCCGTAGGAGGAGTTCTCCTCAAGGCACTTACTTCGCATTACCAAGTTTGCTGAAACTACAACCAGCTGATGTTGTTGTCATTCAGTGCAACTAAGGACAGGCACTACAAGAGAGCAGCTGTGGCAGTTACCTTGGCCTACATCGCTCGTGCCGTGTCAAGACACCTGCTTCAGACTCAGACATGACTCGTCTTGCCTGCTTGCATCTGGCATGCAACATCTGGGGAATCCTCGCTGTCTCATGGTGAAGAAGGCTCTGACTGTCTCTGGACTCCCCTGCAGCTGCCGGTAGTCCGGAGCTCTGGTGGGGTGTTGAAGTTGCGAACTTGGTGTCGACATGCCCTAGGCTTTGTAGAGCTGCCCATTATAAGTGAGGCATGTTGGCAGTGACGTGGCTCAGCAGGACGCCCATTGTCCACGTCAGGATGGGCGCGAGTGATCACAAAAAGTTGGCACCCATGTGGCAAGTGAGCGAGATGCCTCTGCTTGAAGACAAAGTATATTTTTGGCGCTTGAAGATCCATGTGCAGACGCTTCGATTGCATCGCCGATGCCACTTCCTGCATGGTCATCAGGCGATCGGTTTTCAGCAGAGTAGGATCCGAGACGGCGTCAGCCCGCTGAGATGGGGAGTGCAGCGCAGAGAAACCAGTACTCGTGCAGCTGCATGAAGTACTGCCCACATCCTTAATAGGGTTTACAATAGGTATCCTCACTGGCCTGACATTGTGAGGTCCCGAAGGATTTTTTGGGGGAGTCATTCATCAGGATTCTGCATTCATTAGCTTCGATTTCCATGCACAGCATTGTAGAACCGTGATGATGCCTTTATATTGAAAGCGTTATCATAACCCTGCATGTAAAGCTTGATGGGCCCTTATCTACTTGGTAGCGTGGCTACCCAGAAAAGCCTTGATCTACCCTAAACCCTAAACCCTATACCCTAAACCCTACAAGGGCTGGACCTTTGGATCAAAGATTCTTGGAGGCTTCCAGAGCTCGAGGTAGAAACCTCGCCGGCCTGCCTAGATAATATCGGCGCCTTAATGATGAGAAGAGGGTATGGGGTATCTGATACTATAGAATTAATAAGGAACCCCTGAAACCCTATTCTGATTATTAAGGCCCCTACATTGCAGGTTATAGGTTTTCATACTGCAGAGCTTAGGGATCCTTTCGAATCTTGGCGAGAGTATATTCGGGGTATTGTCACGGGGGGAGAGGAGCAATCGAGCTCTACAGCACTTGTAGCTTCAGTGTAAACGCCTCAGATCACAATGTCTGCTCGTCCAAACTGAGATCTACAACCCTGCATGTTGTTAAGGTCTATACCTTACAGAGGCCCAGGGAGTTAGCAAGTAAATTGTAAGTAGAGTTACAAGTACCGCCAAAGAAGATTACCCTACCTATCATCTACTTATGATGGCCCCGTGGTCCTTCAATCGGGCACTTGGTAAGCCCTCGGCCACAAGTTCAAAACTGCTGCAACCCAAAACCCTTTAGCTCCGGTGTTGTTAAGGACGGCTCCCAGAGTAAGCGCAGTTTGCCGGCCCATCGTCCCGCCGCAAGTGAGATCTATCATAACACTAGACCGTGAAGTACACTGCCATAAGCTTCTAGCCTTCCGCCGTAGTCCGCTAAAAGCCAGTCGCCTTAAATCCGACACTGTGGGTTGATGTGGAAGAGGGTGGGACTGGTGAGAACGAGTTGCAATCAACGGATGAAACATGGAGCTTCACGAGTGTGGCATTGCTGCAACAGGATATTTTTCGACTTCGAGGGCTTGTCTCCAACGGGATGGCGATCGGAAGGAATTTCAATGACAATCGTGTCCACAAAACCGACGACACAGATTAGGAAGTTGATGATGCCGTTGATGCTCTGTCCGAAGATGATGCTGTGAATGATGACGATGACGATGGTCAGGATGCATGCCCCAGAAAGACAGGTCTTGACGATGACGAGGCGGAAGGGACGAGCACGAGGACGATGAAGAGAAAAAGCAACGCAGCGAGGATGATGATGACCTTGAGGATGCCTCAACAACAGGAGGAAGGCAATGCCTACGACGAGCGCACTGACGAGCGCGGTGGTGACAGATCATTGTCAAGGTTGTCAAAAGGCTTTCATGGAGACGATGACCATGCCGCTTTTAGGGCGTGATCTTTGTCGGCCCCTCATGACCTTTGTGTTACAGGCATTGTCATGATGGATAACTTGTGCCGTAACCCGAAACTGCAAATCTCGAAGCACTAGGCTGGTATCCGCATGGTTTTGTTGTTTACACTGCTGTCGTGATTGTCGCTATGTCTGTCGTTCCAAATCATGTGATTGCACCTGTTAGTAGCAGTAGCAACAATGAGCGTATCGCTGTTTTACCCAGAGGGTCCATGTACCTAAATAGTATATACATTGGCCCTAAAGTACCTATATAGGGACTACATTAAGGCCAATGTATACACTATTTGGGTACATGGACCCTTAGGGTTATGTCATGTGGGTCTTTCGCTCAGAGCCGCTCACTAGCCTGGGAATCTGATCCTGAAGGAATCGCCTAGAACTTCGCCACTACCTATGTCACCATGAAACCGTCCAAGACTACCCATTCTCTAATGATCACACACTCTCCCAAATCTTAACCAAGATAACTACTATCCGCCACCAAAGTACCTGATTCTTGGGTCCTTTGGACCCTTGGGGTTATAGAACCCGAACCCTAAACCCTAAACCCTAAACCCTAAACCCTAAAGCCTAAAGCCTAAAGCTAAGAAAGCAAGCCTGGATCCGAGACCCTGAACAAGAAGACCATGTTCCTGATGCTCAAAGAGATTAACCCAAGCTTACAGGAGGCCGGAGTGTAGGGTTTAGGGTTTAGGGTTTAGGGTTAAGTGTTTAGGGTTTAGGGTTTAGGGTTTAGAGAGTGTGTGGATGGGTATGTTCCAAAACCCCTCCAAAAGCGGCCCTTATGGTCATTAATAGTGGGCATTTAGGGTATGTTAGAGCCCTTAAAGGAGCCCTTAAAGGAGCCCTTATGGTCATGAATTTGGGGGTATTTAGGGCATGTTAGAGGGTAGTTCGGGGGTCTAGGTCGTGGTTTTGGGTGTTGCTGGGGTGTAGGCTTTAGGGCCTCGGTTCTCGGGTAAGGTCTTTTAAGACTGCGGGTTCCGGGTCCAGGAGTTGGTTGTTGGGATCTAGAGTTTTGGGAGATCCGGTGCTCAGGGCTTAGATGGTTCTATGGCGGGTCTTGAAGTTTTTGCACCGACGTGAATGATGACGATAGACAGCGGACTGAACGAACGAGTCTGTGGAAAGTTTTGGAGTGACGGTGCCAAGAAGCAAGACATAAAGAGCAAGTGCAAACTCATGCCTCGCAACCCTAAGCTCAAAAACAAAACTCAGGGCCTTCGCGTTATGCGTTTAGGGTCAAAGAGACCTTTCAGCGAAAAGTTGACACCAAACCCAGCACGTGGCACCAAAACGTGGCGTAAAACCCCAAGCACGCTACTGCAAGCCCTAAAGCCTAAACCAAGCAAGGAACAAGACAACAACGTAAAATGACAAGACTTTTCTGCCAAGATGCGCAAACAAGAACCGTCGTGACACAAAAAGGAAAAAGCAATGCAGCAGAAATGGTGTTTGTTTTTACAATAAGACAGGAATCGTCTCAGCTATCAAAACCCGATTATGTAATACCCGGTAAGATGCTGAAAGAGCTGCAATGGTAATGTTGATGTACAAGCGAGCATCAGTATACCCCTTCTCTAAGCCCTTAACCTTGAACCTCAAACCCTCAACGCTCAGCCCTAAACCATGCACAGGGTTTCAGATGGTTACGCAGGTGCAAACAAGAGCTCAAAACAGACCAACACTGAACCGTAAACCCCGAACCCTCAGCTCCAAACTCTAAGCCTTAACCGGTAAACCGTATGCCCCAGCCCTAAACCCCCCAAAAGTAGGTATAATCATGGCCCAACACCTACACAAGGCGATTATTCTACATACTTTTGCGGTCCAGGTAACCCTAAACCCTAAACCGCGCCCCTAACTACGGAATGACACCTAAACCCTAAACCCTAAACCGCGCCCCTAACTACGGAATGACAGAAGAGGCAGAGTTCGAAGCACGCTTCCGACGAATCGACGGCGACGGAAGCGGTTTGGTGCAGCGCTGAGGGCAGTGGTTTAGGGTTTAAGGCATTAGGGGGGTTTAGGGTTTAGGGTTTTGTAAAAGGTTTTGTAGGGTTACAGTAGGGCTCATGTGGTCTTATTACAGGGTTTCACAGGGTGTTTTACGGGTATATAGGAGGTCTTATAAGGTTTCATAGGGTCTTCATAGGGCTATACGGCTTTATGGCTTTATGAGGTCTTTTAGGGTTTTATAGGGCTTTACAGGGCTATAGGGCTTGATTAGGTCTTATACGGTTTCATAGGGCTGTCCTAGGGCCTTATTAGGTCTTACAGGGTTTCTTAGGGTTTTTCTAGGGCTATAAGGCTTCATGAGGCTTGGTAGGATGTCATTGTTTTTTTTTTTGTTGCGGCGTTCGGGGTTTCCGGGCTTGGGACTTCGAGTCTCAGAGGTGTAGGGTTCGGGGCTTCGGGTTTAGGGTTTAGTCTACGGTTGAACCCATGGGCCCCTAACATGGGCCCTTAGGGGATTCTAGGGTCCCTTAAGGGTATATATAGGGTATATACTAGGTATATTAGGGTCCCAGGGTTAAGGGCCCATACTAGGGGCCCATGGGCAGGGCCTTAGGGTTGTAGGGTGTTAGGGTTTAGGGCTTTAGGGCTTTATGGTTTAGGGCTTAGGGGACATGCCCACAAAAAGATCGCACGGTGGAAAGCCTGAGCTTAAACCCGGCCCAGATCGAATTCGACGAGTTTGTTCAATGGTCGGGCCCTCAGAATGCCTCAAAATCAGGTCCAATTCAGTCCAGCTTTAGCGCATGTCAGGATCACACAGATCTTGATTCACCTGGCACTCAACATTTTTGAGGGTGACAGTGTGCAGATGAAACTTGTCACATGTTTCCTCTCAAATCCAAACTTGTTTCGAATGAGGTTCGCCCGTTTCGTTTAGGTGATGTTGTGGGGTGCTTTTTCGGGAAGCTTGGTAGTATTGGGGAAAAGTATATGTCCCCCCAATATGTTGAGTGCTTACGTCGTTTCTGCGTGCAATCCCCTAAACCCTAAACCCTAAACCCTAAACCCTAAACGCTTACGTCGTTTCTGCGTGCACTCACTGAATGTACCCATGGTGCCTTGTGTGATATACTCGTCAGCTTTAGGCCCGGTGAGTTCCAGCAGGAACGAACTGCATAGCTACCCATAGGCCCCATAGTAGTTCCTTTTGGGGGTCATATTTTAGAATCCTATAGGGGAATCCCAAAAAGGAACTACTATGGGGCCTTTTGCTAGAGCTGAAAACCTGATGGTTGCTTGATCTTGGATTCAACACTTGCGGGTTGCCTCAGACGCAGGTCCCTAAAGCCCTAAACCCCAAGCTGGTGCTTCCAGAGCCTGGGGATGTAAACTCCCTTGAGGATTAGGGTTTAGAGCTTTCAAGGGTTTAGGCCCTAAATCCTAAACCCTAAACCCTAAACCCTAAACCCTAAACCCTAATTAAAAAGTTTAAACCCTAAGCTTTCGGGCTTTGTGTCAGATGATGTAAGCCAGGAGTCTGCGGTGTGTTTATCCCGAAGCACCCCAAACCTCAAGACCCGAATACCTCCAAGCCCTCAACCTGACCTCTGTACCCATAGGCCCCCTAGTAGTTCCTTTTTGGGATTACCTTATAGGATTCTAAATATGAACCCCAAAAAGGAACTACTAAGGGGTGTATGGGTAGAGCTCAAGCCCTGAACTTACCCCCCCGAACTTCGAACCCCAGATCTCTTTGTGAAAAGAACTTCTGATCACCACAGCCTGGTCCTCGCTTGTCTTTGCTTGCGCGCACGTTCCCTGGCACAAGTTCAATAGTCTTGGGGGGTCAGGGTTCAAAGGACTGGCATTACCGGGCGATTTCGTCATGTTTATCTCCGGCTCGGGGGGGGGCCTTGGATGGTTACTTACATCGCTCTAGCAAGCGCTTTGCGATTTGTAGCTCTCCGGGTTGACGAAGCACCTCGTAAGTAAGGTTGTAAGAATTAGTTTTTTAGCTTTTTCAATCTCTCGGCCTGGCCCCTGGACCTTTCAATACCTAAAATCTCATGGTCTCCGAACCAAAATTGCCTGAAGTGATGAATCTCTGTATCGCCCCCAAACCCTTGCAGCCCAAGCGGAATTCTCCACCCAGGGTCTACGATGACGAGGCGCCACCACCCCGATGCATGTTGAGTTTCGGGCTGTCCAGTTCGGGAAACCTGAGTTTAGGGGCTTGAATACTACCTTAAGAACCCAAAACCTACTTTTTTGTAGGGTCCCTATAAATCCCATATTAGGGTGTATAGTAAGAACCTACAAGAAAGTGGGTTTGGGGTTCTTAAGGTACGTAGTATGTTCGTGGTACTAAATCATGTTTCAGGGTTCCCTCAAACACAACTACAGAATAAGACACCCCGTCACCTCATCTACTTTCTTCGGGCTTCTAGGTTAGGCTTGCTTCTCTGAGGTTTCCAGGAACCGGTGTATGGAGCGCCTTGTGTGTTTCGCTCGGTGGAAAGCTCTTCTTGGCATGCAGTTGCTACTGCGAGACTGACAAAGTGCAAAGGTCGTTGGGTCTGGGTTCCTGGTCTTCTAAGGGTAATGGAGGGGTCTGGGAACTAAATGGGTAGTTCTCTAAATTATGGGCCCTTTTGGGGTCTTTATTATAGCGAGAACACACCTGCTCAGGTACGCCGCCTACATGCCCCACTGGGGCACCCGTGGCCTCAGACGAGGGCTATGATCAAGTGTAGGTCTGTTCTGCGCTTGTCCGAAGTGTAGCTGTGTAAAGTATTGTACAGTACAGTATCGATGCTCTGATGCTGGCATGTTCAAGCCGAGCAGCCCAGAGCTACCAGCTACAACGCATGACACCACGAAGGTTTTTTAACGACGCCGAAGAAGGAACTTGTATAGTACAGTACTTCTGTTGCTGTTCGGTGGAAAACTCCCGGTCTTGTGTGCGTGCTCCGCGGTGGGCTTTCGACCTTACGCGGGTTATGAGCC